GAGACAGGGTCACATCTAATAATGTGCATTAGGTCATTAGAACTGTACGTCATGAATAAATTAATATTGATTAATGTTATACAATGAAAAGTTACAAACTGGAAATATAATGCAGGAGAAAACCTAGATTTTCTTGTGTTAGGCACTGACTTATCACATATTAATTACAAGAAATTAAAGATCCACAAAAAAAATCACTCACATCAGATTTCCTTAAAATTCAGAGAAGAGGATTTTTTTCTGCTCTTTGAAAGGCAATGCCAAGAAAATAAGAACGCAAGATGTAGGACTGGGAAACCAAATTAAAATTATGAAAAATTGCACACTTGATGCAGGTTGGTGAACCAAAATATGCAGACACCTTAGAAGTTAATAAAATGAGCAACCCATTCAAGTAAGTCAAGTAAGGTGTGCACCATGCCTGGTATAGTTAAATAGTCTTTAAATGTTAAAGATTCACTGTTAGGCTCAGGAGCCAATCAATGAGCCATATGAAAAGAGTGAACAAATGAATCCATATCATTTTTTTCCCATTGCCTTAGGGTTGTGCTCATTCTGGCCTGACGTTCATTCTCTACATAGCGTTATTTTCTGTTGCATGTCTCCGGACTAGCACTAGTCTGTAACCAGAGTGAGACAACACCAGGAAAAACAACTCTCAGTAGCTGTAGGAGTAGAGCCCCCAGAGGTTCAGAAGTGTGTGGAAAGCCTTTACAATAGAGTAATTCCTTAACTGGACTAATTATATCCAAACAAGTGGCGCAGCAACCTGGGTAGGGGTTTCTGGCTTCCGTGTGTAGGTTGAAGACCAGGTGGAGTGTAATTTGAATCAGAAGCTATGGGTGGCAAAACTGGCCCAGAGCACCCAAAATGTACAGGTCAGTGGGCAACTGCGGCCTGAAGAGGACTGCCCCAATGTCTTTGGACAAAAACCTCTACTAAGAAAGTGTCTCCAATTTGGACATGGTAGTGCGTGCCTCTAATTCCAGCAGAATCCCTGTGAGTTCAAGGTCAGCCTGGTCTACATAGCAAGTTCCAGGACCAGCAGGGGCTACATAATGAGACCCTGTTTAAAAAGAATAAAAAATGTTTCCAAGATCACTGCTAAAGGCGCCCCAGCCTTTTGAGATGATCATTTCCTAGTGGGTAAGTATGCTTTAACATCCAGGTTCATTAAAAAAAAAATATGGCCATTAGGTGTTTACAGTATTTAAGAGAATGCCGAGTTGGGTGTGTAGCTCTGAGGGACTGTTCACTTGGTATGTGCAGAGAGCTGGGCCCAAACCTGAGAAAGAATAACGACTACAGTAACAAATCAGACTTATAATGCTAATTTAAAACCTACATGAGTTCAAGTGGAACTTTCTTTTAAAATTAGTTTTGGAGCATTTAAGAAAACATAGGATAACAGTCGCCACATTTATAAATGGTTAGGTTTATATGGCTTTTAGGAACTTAGGAATGTTTTTCTGATTAGCATAGATGATTGAAAAATTTAATAAGGACATGGAATATATTATTTGTCAAATATATTTTGGGGACTAGGAAGATGGCTCAGGGGGTAAAAGCAGTTGCGACATGAGCCTGACCACCTGAATTTGGTGCTCCCAGAACCCACATAAAATTTTTTTAAGACAAAAAAAATTAAAGTCAGATATAATAATGTAATGTCTAGTGCCAGCATCCCACAGCCAGATTGGTGGCAGCAGAAGGACTTGCCCGGAAGCTGGCAGGTAGGCCAGCCTAGATTACATGTCACAGCCACAGAAACAATGAGAGAATTTACCTCAGGAAGGTGGGAGGTAAGAACCGACACCCAAATTCGTCTTAAGACCTCCGTATTTGTGCAAGTGTGTGCAACATACACACCAACATAATCATAAAATAAATTAAGGGCTGGGCATGGTGATGCATGCCTTTGGTCCCAGCACGTGGGAGGCAGAGTCAGGCAGATCTTTGTGCAGTCAAGGCCAGCCTGATCTACACAGTGAGTTCCAAGCCAAATGGGGTTACAGGGAGACCCTGTCTCAAAGACTGAAAACAAAAATTGGGAGTTTGAAGAATATAAAACTTTACTTTTAAATGGAGTCCAAGGGGGCCCAAGAGCTGACTCAGTGGTTAAGAACATTGGGTGCTCTTCCAGAGGACCCAGGTTTGGTTCCCAGCACCCACATGGTCGTTAACGACCATCTGTAACTTCCCTTCCAGAAGATTCAACACCCTTTGGCCTCAACTAAGCAACAATTTCATGTACCTGCTGTGTCCAAGCCAGTGAGTAGATGACATTCAAAGAAGTGTGAAGCTTGGTCACAATTTCTCTAGAAGTTTGTGATCCAGTGGTTGAGAAAGGACATAAAAAGAGTAGAGAAAATAATCTATAAGATCAATGTATAGAATACGTCTTGTATTTTCCCCCACTCTTTTCCAGTGGGAGATAAAAATTTCCATTTCTGTAGAATGGTTTTAGTTTCCCGTAATAGAGAAAATATGAACCAGAATTCAGCAATGCTTCCAATAATTTTGTATACTGTTCTGATAATCACATCTATATATGTAGCGATACTTGTACTTGCAAGGCATAATATTTACTATTCACAATCTCCTGTGTGCTTAAAGATTTAAGGGTGCCTGGAAAGAATCAGAAAATCTCACCCCAGGCAGCTGGAGCCCACAGGCTAAGAGCCGTTGTGTTACTATAATTCAGAGGAGGAAAGGGGTGTGTTTCTAGGGTGAGCCACTCAGATAGGAAGTCCAACTACAGAAGGGCATTCTATTCAGCAGAGAGCAGGAGGGAAGTATAGGCAGGAATGTGCAAGCTCCTTTGAAGACTTTAAGACTTGGTATTATGTGCAAGGGAATGTGTTATCCCCAAATACCAAAGGGTATTATTGTCCTTAACAGTTACAGATGTGGAAACTGCAACTCAGAAATGTTTACAGACTTGACCATGGCCACCCAGTTAATAAATAGACACCTAGGTTCAAATCCCCACCAGATTCATTTACCTACGGGGCCTAATCTCTTTCCTCTACTGGGTAGCCTCCTGAGTGTATAACTATTAAGCCATTAGGACCCCAGCTAGGAACAATGTTGATATAGGTAATGTTGGGTAACATAGATTAGGGACAAGTTGTATAGGCCTTTCAATGCTAAACAAAAAGGTTTAACAGTGAAGAGCCATAGACTATTCTTGAGTCATAACATGTTCATTTTGGTTCAGTTTGTATTTTGAGACCAGTCTCGGGTATCCCAGGCTGTCCTCAAACTGGCTATGTGCCTGAGGCTGGCCTGGAACTCTTGGTCTTCCTACTTCAGCCTCCAGAGTCCTTCCTTATAGGCATGTGTCACTGTACTCGGCCGTCATATGTTCTTGAGCAGGACTAATGAACAGAAAATGTTGTTGTGCGAACATTACTGGGAGAGGATAATTGAGATGGGGTTGTGGAGTACAACTTAGAACAGCATTATTCAGAAGCTCAGATATCCATAGAGATGCAGAACAGAAAATATTTAAGTAAGGGTAAGATTACAGGAATGGAAAGAGGAAACTGTTTATAGGAATGAAGGATTAGGTAGGACGGACATGCCAGGAACCAATCTAGCTGCTCCGTTGTAGGGTCCCTGAAGTTCCCTTATCTTACAGGGCTCTTGTCCAGAATACTTTTTAACTGCACAGAGACTCATCTGGAAGATTTTCAGAGTTTGAGAACTATCATCAGACATTTTACTTTGGCCCACCCAGATCTCTTAGAGCCCAAGAGCCCCACTTTTCCCCTACTGAGTCCAGTACTGGAAGTTCCTGCTGAGGTCAGTTTGCCAAAAGCAACAGGATTCTCCATTCAGGTCAGTAAACTTAGACCTGGAGATGAGACAGGAGGGCGATCTTCCACTCAAGCCAGTCTGTTCTCATTAATCCCAAATGCTCTGGCCATTGGGTCACCCCAAAATTTACATGTTAAACTCCTACCTCCCTACTTGAAGATAATTTAGGAAGTAGGGCTTTAGGGGAGTCTTGATGTTCCTTGAAGATATGAGGATAAGACTTCAGGAATAAGATTAATGCCTTTTTAAAAGGCTCGAGGGAACCCGTTTGCCCCTCTGTCCCACCATGTGAGGGGACAGTAAGAAAGCGTCACCTGTGGATTTTCAGAAAGAAGCCTCACAAAACACCACAACTCCTGGTGCTTCCTAAAGGCCAGAATTGTGAGTCATAAATTTCTGTTGTTCTGCTTTGTGATAGCAGCCTGAACTGACTAAGACCCTTCCCTGGGTTCTCGCCTGTCAGCTGTTTATGGGCAGAGTGTACCACAGCTTTACCGGGACCCATAGGAGTGGTAAACTGAAGTGACAGAGGAGCTTGACCATCTGAAGATGCCAGAAGGCTGGCACCGTGCTCAGTGCACAGTCACTGTCTTGCCATCCATGATGCCACAGTCTTTGCACAACTTGGAGACGTTCATCTCAGTGCATTTCACTGCTGAGAACTCTCCCAGGACAACAGATCAGCAGACCATTCCCTCTCCTTCTGATGTCAGAAGAGGAGACAGGAAGTAGAGACCCAAAGCCCCTCTCTCCTGTCAAGGGCATAGCTGGAGCCAGAAGTGATGTCACACAGCACTATGACATCGTAGTGTTCCTTCTCTGCTTTAGCCTCCACCCTTTTGACTCCGTGTGGCCACATTTCCTGGCTGCCACACAGCTGCACACACCTGCAGACAAAGGCTGGGAAGGGGCAGACACCAGCTAGGCACCCTAGTACTTGAAAGTGGTGGGGAAGGGGGACTATTCAGTACACGGGCATGCGGGCTTGACAGTAGTGCCCACAGTACTGGGGAGGGGAGACTCAGGCTGCGGCAGTCCGATGGGAGGGGAAGATGGGAGACGAGTGCAGGGAAGAGGGACATTGCTCCTGATGCTGATTTTTTAACATTATCACCCACCTTACTCTTCAACCTTCTCTTCCCATCCTCCCTCCCTCCTGAGGCGCCCCTCGGTTGACCATGGCCTCAGAAGCAGAGAGAACATTCCATCGGTTTGCTGTCTTCGAAGAATCATCCAGCAGTGGCACAGAAATGAGCAACAAGAACTTTTCCAAACTCTGTAATGACTGTGACATCACGGACAGCAAGACAGTGACCTCCACAGATGTTGACACTGTGTTCAGCGAAGTGAAGTAAGGAGCCAGATGTGGGGTGAAGGTGGTTGACTGTGGCAGGGTTCTTGTGTGGAAGATTTCTAGGGGACACCGGGCAGGTGCCTGGCACTGTTCTATTTCCTGTCCTCAAGACATTCAGTGAGAGGAGCAAAGGGGCCATGCCGGACTAAGGGAAAGTAGCCCTTGGAAGATAGTGCCTTCATGCTCCACAGTTACCGGATTTCTTTCTGACTGCCCAGGGCCGAGGATGCCAGAACCATCACATTTCCACAGTTCCAAGAAGCCATGAAGGAACTGGGCCAAAAGCAGGAAGATGTGAGCTGTCTTCACAGCCTGGCATCACTGAGGATACACCAGCTATGCTAGAGGCTTGTGTGGACTTGTCTTCGATGCTCTAGTGCCACCTAGTGGTGCTGTCCATCTCCAGCACTACTTTTCTCGCCAAAGCCCATTTTTGCCTATATCTGTGTCTACTAAAAATGATATCCCCCTGGTCTCAAAACACATAGCCAGCCTTCCTCTTTCAAACTCCTAACTTCTGGGAGGAGAAGAGACATGGGAGGACAAATATAATCAAAACACACTGTACACATGTATGAAATTCTCAAAGAATTAACAAAAGTATTTTTTTTAATTCCTACCTTCTAGATCACAAAACAATCTCCATCATCGGTATGGTTTATGTGACTTGTCTGCAGTTGTAATCTACATGTTAGGTGGGCTTTCGAACAGGTCCTTAACTGTTCAGAGTACAAGTCACCAACACCCTGCTCTCTAATGGTCTCTAAGGCTCTAAGGACCGGCCTCTCTGAGCAGCTCCCACACTTGCCACTCTGGTCACCTTGCTGTTCTTCCAGCACCCGGGTGTCTGTGTGCTCTAAGCCCTTTGCGGTACTTTTCTCTCAACCTGGAACATCCTTTGTCCAGAAAAACACAATGTTGCTCTCTCCGTGTTTCTGTCCTAAAGTCAACTGCCTCAATGACCTACTTCAAAATCACTGCCCAGCAACCCTATCCTGGTCTATATTTTCCTCAGCAGTCACTACTTTGAGCAATATTCTGTGTTTTTATTCTTTCCCCAATGGAATGTAAGCTCTGCAAAGAGGGATTTTTGTCTCTTGTTAGGTAAGCTACCACTGGCACATAATAGGTGCTCTTTATATATTGACTACACAAATAAAACTGAACCAGAGATAGACCACTTATTTACAGGTGAATTCTGAAAGCCTGTTTCCCAGGCATTGCTACCACAGGCAAAAACGCTTCTGTACCTGAGCTGCACCATCTCTGGAGTGTCACATTTCAATCTGTCAGGAGCCCCCAGAGCAGCACAGACACAGCTACAAACATCGCAGGAACAGAAGAAACACAAGCTGAAGAAGGGCTGAGGCCAGCTGTTGAGGGCAACAGCAACAATGGCGTTTCAAATGCAAACATTTAGATAATGTTTAAGCTTTACAACTTTTAATAAAATAGGGAAGGCCCTGGTAAGAACGGGAGGTATGGGCGCCATCTCCTGGTGAAGGCAGACAGTCTCAAGCAGTACCTGGAACTTCAAGGACCTGGGGAATTGAGCCATCTTGGAAGAGTTGAGCGGTTGGGGAGGGCGCTGCAGCTGCAGCGTGACTCACAATTCATCCACATCCCGGGCTTCCTCCAGCTCCTCCTGAAGATACGGAGCATACCTGGATGACAAGAAGCTATGCAAACTAACCTTCTGGGTCATTCTGTCTCTACCTC